ACTTCCTCACAATTTACTTAGGAATGGCGCTCCCGCTTGAGACTTCCTCGCAATTGAATCAAGACTTCCTCGCAATTTAATCAAGACCCCGCTCCCGCCAGAGAACCCTTCACATTTTATTCAGGAATCGCGCTCTCGCTGGTGACATCCATGCAGTTTATTCAGAAATCGCGCTTTCGACGCTCAGCGAACACGCTGCGCCAAGGACGCCGTTACAATTTACTTAGTAATCGCGCTCTCGCCATACTCAGGCATCCCGCTTGAATGTCCCACCCGCCCGACCCGCCCGTCAGGGGATCGCCCGCCCGTCGTGGGCTCCCGCCCGAGACTTCCTTCAGGAACGGCGCTTTCGCCTAGGACTTCCTCGAACGTTCACGCTCTTACCTTCCTGCTCCTCCTCCCTCTCCCTCCTCCCTCCTCCCTCCTCTCCTCCCTTCTCTCTCCCTCCTCTCTTCCCTCATCCTTAGGCCTCTCTGCCCTATCCCCTCTCCCTCCTCTCCCTCCCTTCTCCCTCCCCTCTCCTGCCTCCTCCCTCCCTCCCTCTTTCTCTCTCTGTCTTTCTCCCCTCTCTCTCTCTTTCTCTACCTCTTTTTTGTTGTTGTTGTTGTTCTCTCTCTCTCTCTCTGCCTCTAATCAACCGCCCCCCTCTTCGCTCCTTCTCTCCTGGCGTTTTCCCTCTGCCTTCGTCCCTCCCCCTCCCTTCCTCCCACTCTCCTCGGTCTCCCCCTCCTCTTTTTGCACAGGGCCCACCAATTCCAATGGCGTGCACATGTACGCCCACGAAGGATTGTCCGCCCGTTCAGGTTTGCCCGCCTGTCTAAGCCCGCCGCCCCTCGCAAAGAGAAATACCCCCCTCCCCCAAAGAGGGTGTGACCGAAGACACAAAAGGCGGGTATCGAGGGTGTGGGGAACTCGTTTTGAATGGCACACGGCCAAGTAAGAGCGAACAGTCTTATACTGATTGTTGTTGTGGTTGTGGTTGTTGTTGTTGTTGTTGTTGTTGTTGTTGTTGTTGAACATTATTACTTCTAAAGAATAATTATTGTTGGGACCCCTGGTGCACGACCCCCCTCCAAAACCTAGGCCGCAGCTACATTTTCATTTTTTTTTTCGCGAAAGCTTCAGAAAAGTGGATTATGCCAGATCCGGTTGTTTTGTTGTAATCCGTTTTCCCTTGCAAAAAACACTATAAAATGAAAATTCTTGTTCTTAGTTGATCAAATTTCCAGAATCCCTTGCAAAAAATAAGGGAAAGTGGACATTCGTGCGCGCAAGACGAATTCCTTCCAAAACCTTAGGTTTCGTAGCGATTTTAACATAAAAACATCAAAAACCCAATGGTTTTTTAAGAAAAAATTGTCAAACTGTCCTTCCGCGCGCGCTGTCCGAATCTCACAAAACCAATGGTTTTTCAACATTTATGTTACATGAGCTCGCGCGAGCTACTTTTTCTTGTTCTAACATAATCAAATTTCAATAATCCCTTGCAAAAAATAAGGTAAAGTGGACATTCGCGCGCGCAAGACGAAATCC